AAGCACTCAGGGCAGAGAGCACAGGTGCTTGGTGTATCTGTGGCAAGCACTCAGGGCAGAGAGCACAGGTGCTTGGTGTATCTGTGGCAAGCACTCAGGGCAGAGAGCACAGGTGCTTGGTGTATCTGTGGCAAGCACTCAGGGCAGAGAGCACAGGTGCTTGGTGTATATGTGGCAAGCACTTAGGGCAGAGAGCACAGGTGCTTGGTGTATCTGTGGCAAGCACTCAGGGCAGAGAGCACAGGTGCTTGGTGTATCTGTGGCAAGCACTCAGGGCAGAGAGCACAGGTGCTTGGTGTATATGTGGCAAGCACTCAGGGCAGAGAGCACAGGTGCTTGGTGTATCTGTGGCAAGCACTCAGGGCAGAGAGCACAGGTGCTTGGTGTATATGTGGCAAGCACTCAGGGCAGAGAGCACAGGTGCTTGGTGTATATGTGGCAAGCACTCAGGGCAGAGAGCACAGGTGCTTGGTGTATATGTGGCAAGCACTCAGGGGGTTGGCATGCTTTTTCGTGAAATTGTTCAAAAGCGGTGAGTCCATGCCGAAAGCGTTATTGCAATCGATGTGGAGGACGCAATCCCCCGTGAAAGCCAGCGGGCGTCATATATTCTCTGGAGCTCCATATTCGTGTCACACAGCTGTTCCTGCAGCTTCTTGAAGCGCCTGTGCCACATCCCGCTCCTTTACATCAGTTCTGATACAGTTCTGATGATTTGGTCGATGACGGAGAAGTCTCTAGCCGTCGCCGCCACGTCTTTGGCTACCAAAGACTACTGGCAGAGAGGGGGGGAGGGAACACATATACGCACACTAGGTGTGAGATAGTAGAACGTGACATCGCATGCGACTTGGGAACCAACAACCGAAAGACAACCACTCAAGCACCAAACACCGGAGTCAACCCGCCACAGGGCGATGCAGTGGCATGACACTAGGTGCCGAATCTTAACACGCAACCGTGCGACGACGCCCTTGTGCTCGTGTACCATGACAGATGCGCCGTCCGTACTTATACCGACGATCTTCTCCATGTCGATGCCGACCGATCGCATGTAAGTCCCCAGAACTTCAGTGAGGCTTGCCACATCACATTTTTGCACGGTGGGGAGCGTCAGGAACTCGGTACGCACATAGCCATCCTTGATGTAAGTCACATATACTATCAGATGCTTCCCTCTGACCCGGTCTGTGCTCTCATCAATAGCGATGCCGAGATAAGGGCTGTTGGCGTTGTTCAGCAGCTGCTCTTCTCGTAGGTACTTCGATGCGGCCTCGACAAACTCGTTGAAACCGTATCTGCCAAGCATAAACGCAACGAAACAAGAGAGTTGTCAAAGATGTTGGAACAACACGCACTAAGATCGGAAAGACATGACCCGGTAAATCCATATACGAAGTTACTCATTCGGAAAAGTAGGCGCCCTTCAGATCCAGAGGGAGGTCCGCCGTCTGCACTGAAGCCATGAACTTGATGAATCCGACGTAGGATGTTATCGGCGCCTCCGATTGGCACGTATACAACGCCGTTTCCATGGCGGTGATGAGATGTAGCGTGCTCATGTCGAGGCCCTCGTAATCGTTCAGGAGAGTTTGCTGCAACATCCTCGACTGCTTTGCCTTCATTAGACGGTTGGCGTCGCGGTGTGTGTTGGATCGCTGGTGAGTTTGGATGCTGTTATTCTGCATGTCATGCACGCCGCCTCCATCCTTACCGTACTTGGTGTGTGCGCCTGAAACTCCATGCTCGAGGCAAGTGCTGCATCGCAATACAGGGAAACCATCGTCGGCACGGTTGAGGACAGAGCAAGGGAACAAACTATCCCAATAAGTCTTAAAACGTCGGTGCGCTTTTGCAGAAGCAGCCTGTGGATCTTTGGAACTATCTTGGTCGGCGGATTCGTGAGCCTCGTCATCATCCTCGATGGCGACGTCGTCGGGTTCCTCAACAGGCGCTTTGTCCGTTGACCAAGCGAAGGGGAGATGCTGCCGCCGCCACTTCTGCTGCAGGCTGCTCGCTTTCCACTTCACGGAAGATGACGTCAAGCCCACAGCAGTTGGGGATGGGGCACCTGAACCCCTAGAGGCGGAAACCGGTAGAGCAGCGGGAGATGGCGGTGTACGCTCAGGGACATCCGCTATGGGTTCGGTCGGGGAGGTGACCCAACACAATGGGAGGTTGGAGGTGAGCACGGCTGAGCGACTGGGATTGGTGCACGACAGATGAAACTACTGGCCAATCGCTGAAGGGATATAGGGCGTTTCCGCCTACCATACTCCACCTCATCACCGTCGTCGGGTTCTATGGCTGTCGTCGAGACGAGATGAATATGGGAAGGAAGCGGGTGAGAGATACAAACACAGAGCAGATTGTATCTCGATGCTCTCAAGAACAGCTTGAAAGAAAACGCAAATGAAGAACTGGTGCCCCGAACAGAGAAGAAGGGGATGTACAGTTAGTGCCCCCTTATTTTCACCAATCTGGTCGTTTGCCTGCAGAACAGGTGACCGCAGGACCATTTGCAGCCGCGCTGTCCATGCGCACTGCGACCCCTGACGCTGATTGGTTTGTCTTTATCTTGGAAGCCACACACATTGATTCACAGGAGTAGTATCGTCGACGCGCGCCATCATAGAGCAGTAATGGTGCTGATTTCAGCGTGACTCGGGGGGAATATTCTTGCCCCCAAACGGGGGGCCTGCATGTAGAATCACATCAGGGTATTTTGTAAAGGCACCTTTTTCGCTTCAAGGTGCTAATGCTACACCACTTTTGAAAAATCACGGTTCGGTACAAACATAGTTTTTTCCAAAGGGTCCAAAACTAAAGCAATTAAAAAAATAAGGGTCCAACGCCAACCCCAGCCCTGTAGTAAGGGCCGTAAGGGGATTTTACCCTGATATGATATCCTAATGCCTGACTAAAGCCAAGTTTACATAGAGCTCGCAGCGTTTACAGACGCGTGTACCTTGTTGAGGCATCTATAAAGAGATGAACATGCGCGCTGTAGCGGGGTCATCGGGCAAACCGGTAGGATGCGCCACATGGGCTGTTTCGATCCGCGGGCAACCAATGGAATGCAGGGGCGAGCTGTCCAGGTGGCACACCCCGTTGCCATGGCGAGATGCCCAAACCATGCTTGTTCGCTCACGGTTTCACGAAGCCCCGTTGGCCTGCAGTGGGTATTTGTGTGAATGGGTGGTGGCGAGCATTCCTGTTCTATCTCTCCGAGCCACAGCACCCGTCTTTGTCTCTCACACAGCTGCTTGTAGTATTTGCGCGTCAGGTGCACTCGGCTGCCTGCCACTTCCGCCTTGGTGCTGTGGGGGCGTGCTGTTTGCGTGCACCGTCGTCGCAGCTTGGCTGTTCGTCGTCGGGCGCGACCTTTTCCACGGTCACTCGCTGGTGAATATCTGATATGCCACATCGCTGGTAAGTGCCTTATATTCATTTTAGGACTTTCGGGCAGTCAATTCCACGCATCTTGGCTGGTTGGTCTTGGCGGTCAGCGCCTGCTGGCAGCGCTCGTGTGTGGCCGTAGGCATGACGCGTCGAGGAATCGCATGTTTCAGCTGCCAGGTGTTGTCCGCTCTTTCGAAGTTGTATGCCCGTCTCATCGACAACCGGTATTTGCCGGACTTGTTTCCAGATTGCGCGTCGCTCTGTAGTAGCAGGCGCTTTGCCCATCTGCTGTTATGGAGCGGCTGCTCGGCAGGCATGGGTCGGGCCGCCAAGGACGAAGGTACGCACCGTGTTTTGTTCTGGACAGTATTTCGTGTTGTATGACTGGTGAGCTGATTGGCGTGCCTAACAATCGACGCCGGCGATTAGTCGCGCATCCCGCGTGCCGTCTGATTCGCGTTTAACGATTCTCATTTTCCGATTCCTACCGTTCCTTCACCGCAGGCGTTGAACTCTTTTGGCGCGGAGGCGCTCACACCGTGGCCGAGCGCGTCGTCAACACTCTCCAAGCCGCAATTTGTACGGGCGGTAGGGGTATGCGCCTTCCTGAGTGGACATGCCCGGCGCAGCTTGTGAGTGCGGCAGTTGTCGCTCGTTGTTTCCGTCGAGTACGACGGTTGGTCCAACCGGACACTGACTGGGCATTCGGCTCCTTGTTTGGCAGGAAACCCATGCGCAGTTTCTAGCACGCTGGCGAGCCTTCCGCTAATTGGTCAAGGCTTCGGCATACCTTGCAGCAGTCGTCTGGAGCGGGGATCCTGACATCGCCCTGTGTCTTCCGGATTCTCGCATTTTGACCATGGGACAGTGCGCTGGGTGTAGCTAGTGGTGGTGCTTTTCCGGCTGTCTCTGGCAGTTCCTGCTGGTGCAATGTACTGGCTTTGCTAGCTGCATGTTTTAGGTGGTGCTGTATGTGGTGGTCATACTGTTTTATGCTATGTTCCAGGTAATTCACCAAGCCGATACGTGACCAGAGCACCCCCAATAGTGGGCATTCCACACAGCGTGCTGAAGCTCCACACCCAAACAGGCACTTCCATTGCAATGCTGACGTAGGGTTCCCGTAGTGCGGGATTGAAAGCTGCATGGTGTTGCAAAATGCCTGGTAACATGAAACGGAGTTACCCGTTATAGCGTAAGCTCTGCGGCTTTGTACAGTAAATTCTCATCTATTGACGGACTTGGTATTGCTACACCTGGTTTTTATACGTACCACAACGCTGTTCCATCCGCGTCTGAGGTACACTTTGGCATAGCTTACACACTTTCGCTTTAATGGTTCGTTACAGCGGTTTATATATCGGCGGACGCAATAGAAGGGTTGTGATGTTAATGAGGAGCTACTGTCGAGTATATGTGCCATGCCTTTCTTGCTGGTATACGAAACTAGCTGGGCCGCGCGCTAGTGTACCGCGTTATAGATTAGCGAATCCTTCGCGCGCCGAGGATGTACCCATCAAAAAGTTTACCCACCGATACCCTCTCGAAGCCCGAAGGTTACCTGCGGGATTCGCGAGGGCGACCTCACAAGGGCATCATGTGGGTATCCTCGAAAGGTGTTTTGACGGTCGGTGACCAACAGGTGACCTGCTCGGAGCCCCGCGGGTTACCCCCATGTGTGAATCCCAGAGGTATCCTGTGCGGCACTTGGGGGAAACAATTTGCAGGGGTCAATTTTCGGATGAACAAGCGCGTGTCCCTCACGCGCCATGCGCACGCGCAGCTCGTGCGGCGCCGCCAGCAGCAGCAGCAGCATCGGCCTTCCGCCGCCGTCGTTCACGGCGGCCCTGACGGCGCCTCGTTCGCCTCGTCCATCGGCTTCCCCCTCGTCCGCCCCTCTTCCTCTGACGGCGCCACCACCGCCGCTGCTGGTGCTGCCATACTGGCGAGCGGCGGGCCGATCAAGTACCACGGGGGCCCAGTGGTGGTGGGCGCGCCGACGGTGAACGTGTACCACATCTACTATGGCAGCTGGGGCGCCAACTCCGGCAAGGACCTCATCGACTCCTTCGTCACGGCGCTCAGCAGCGAGTCCGGCGCGCAGGGCGCGCAGGGGGAGGCGAGCGTGAAGGGGTGGTGGGCCATCAGCGCCAGCTACTTCCAGTCCAGCGGCGGCGCCAAGAAGAACGTCAGCTCCAAGGTGACACACCGGGACGGGCGGAGGGGAGAGAAACAAAGTGATGCAGTCTCGTGTTGAATGGGTCGCTGGTAGCCAGGGCAACCCTTCACCTTCCTCTAGTCTCCTTGCCGCTCCTCATGCCACCGTCTCTTCCGCCTCCCTCTGCGCTGCCATGTAGGTCCGCCTGGCGGGGACAGTGGCTGACAGCTACTCGCGCGGCAAGCAGCTGTCCGACGATGACGTGCTCGCCAGTACGTGCCGCTCGCCCTGCCCTCGTGCCGCTCGCCCTGCCGTCGTGCCGCTGCCCACTGTGCTCGTGTACTGTCACTGTGTGCACCTGTCGTCTTTCCTCGTGCTCCACATGGCCTCGTCCTAGACATGGCCTGCATCCTCATCTGCCTGCACGCTCACCCCTCTCTCCTGCCTCCCCCACCTGCCTCCCCCCTCTTCTTTGGCGCAGTTGTGAAGAGCAAGGTGGGGCCGGGCAAGCCCTTCGCCCTGGACGCCCACGGCATCTACGTGCTGCTCACCAGCGCGGACGTGACGCTCTCCTCGGGCTTCTGCTCGCAGTACTGCGGGTGGCACACGCAGGACTTCCTCAACTCCTCCCCCCTGCGCTACGCCTTTGTGGGCCACCACGGCCAGTGCCCCGACGCGTGCGGCGTGGAGAGCACGTCCCCGAACGGCAAGCCCGCCATCGACGCCACCATCTCCACGCTGGCGCACGAGATCACGGAGGCTGCCACGGACCCCGACGTGAATGCGGGGTGGTTCGACGCGCAGGGCGAGGAGAACGCGGACCTGTGCTCGTGGAGCTATGGCAGCACCAAGACGGGCACCCAGCAGAGCGGGCAGACCTACCGCTACAACCTCGTGGGGCTCAACGGCTGTCGCTTCCTCGTGCAGCTTAACTGGGACTGTGCCCAGCAGAAGTGCGTCCTCCAGAACGCCCTCCCCAGCGATGGCAGCGGCGGCGGTGGGCCGACGCCTTCCCCTCCCCCTCCTCCCCCGACCGGGGGGAGCATGAAGATGAGCTGTCAGTGCACCTGCGCCAGCGCCAGCAACCCCATGGACTGCCAGTGCTCCTGCACCAAGACCGCGTGACTAGGGGGGGACAAAGAGCGCCACATGGTTGATGTGGGAGGTGGGGCGGGTGTGAATTAGGATCCTGGGACACCTCTCCTTGTCCATGCCTATTTCCTCTATACGTTTTTCCATGTGTTGCTGCCAACCAGGCCCTCAGATTCGTTTGGACCCCCCTGATTGCCTAGAACCACCTACAAAATAAAACTTTCGGGCAGTGTGGCTGACCGCTTTCCCCCTGATTTGACAGACTTATCGACTGGAAAAACACTAATAGTTCAGTGTCCAGTGGTAGACTTTTGCTTTCTACCTTTGATTGGGTTTCCAACATCTGACTGAGTACAGCTAGTGTGCAGCATATAACCTAGTTAGGCAGCAACTGACTACACGTACATAACCTACTCCACACGAAATTCGCCAACACACTTGTCAGTAGGGCACCTAGCAGGCTAGCACCTTTTCTACGCAGATAGCATAGCTGGGCTGCAACTAATTTGGCTTTGCATTCATCTACTGACATTTCCAATGCCTGGCGCTCATCCATGCTGGCAACTACTATACATCACTCATCATCCCAACGGTCATCCGACTCATCCCCCACAAGCTGTCCAATCTCCTCGTCCTCTGCAGCATCAGCTTCATCTTCTGTAGCCACCTGCTTGCCTTTGTCACTGGTGGGCTGCTTCTTGGGCCGTGCAACCTCTATGAACGGTCGGCGCTTCTTGTAGCTGCGCCATATGCCCACCACCTCCTCCCAGTTGGGCTCGTAGTTCAGCAGCGACATGGCCATCAGATCTGAGAGCGTCGCATCATTGATGGCACCTCGGTTTCAGCTCTTGATCACGTTTTGGCGGGAGAACCCGTGCTCGCACTCCACTGTGCTGAGTGGCAAAACAGCGACAGCCACCCAAAGCTTCACCAAATTGGGGTTGCCAATCCGGGGTCTTCAACATGGCCATGATACCCGCATGGAACGACTTCTCAGTCTTCGGGGCAGCAGCACGAGCAGGGCAGAAGCTCCGCAGTTCCTTAAATGCCTTCCGCTTGTCAATCCCTGACATGTGGGAAACAAGCAAGAGGAATTTGGCGGGTTAAGTTGGCAGAACATGGCAAGGGGTAACAAGGGACAGCACGTACTCAACCATTGGACAACGATCCAATCAATCAGATGCTCAGAGTGTTCAGAGTTCAGGATGCACGTACCAAGAAGCAGGGGTTGCAATCTGAGGCGATGTATCGTACCGTCAGCTGGTCACTCTGAACAAGATCTCGGATGAAGAAATGACGAAGTTCGATGTGCTTGGTGCGAGAGTGGAACACTGGATCCTTGGTGAGGTGAATGGCACTCTGGTTGTCACACCACAGGGTGGGCGACTGGGGGTACCCTAACTCGGCGAGGAGAAAGGAGAGCCAGCGTGCCTCTTGAGCAGCCATTGTGCCCGCGTAGAGCTCGGCCTCGCAGGACGACAGGGAGACTGCAGAGGACCGAGTGGAGCGCCAGCTGATGACTCCACTACCAAGGGTGAAGCAGTACCCTTGGGAGGAGCGTCTGTCAGTCTGGTCATCGGCCCATGAGGAGTCTGTGTATCCCTCGAGCTTGACTGGAGAGGTACCACCAAGAGTGAGGATGTGAGACTTGGTGGCTTGTAGATAGCGGAGGACCCTCTTGGCTGCAGACCAATGCGAGGCAGTGTAGCGTCCGGGGGAGACGTACCGAGAGAGGACACTAACCGGGTAAGCCAAGTCTGGTCGAGTGCACATCATGGCATACATGAGTGAACCGACTAGCTCAGGGTACGGGTCCTTGCAGGCGTCAGGAGAAGGAACTGGAGGGGCCGTGAGCTGATGCTGTAGTGGGAGTGGAGTGGAGATAGAGTTACTGGAGTCCATGTCGAACCGCTTGAGAAGGTTGTTGATGTAGGACTCCTGGGAGAGCGTGATCGTGCAAGCCTGGCGGTCACGAGTGATCTCCATCCCCAGGTAGTTCTTGAGGTCACCAAGATCCTTCATGAGAAGGGCGGAGCTGAGAGCAGACTAGACAGCTGCCATGTCGGCTTGATCTCTGGCGGCTAGAATGAAGTCGTCGACGTAGACGAGGATGTAGAAGGGCTCGGAGGAGTGACGAACGAAGAGACTGGAATCTGAGGCAGAGGGATGGAAGTCAAGTGCGAGGAGGACTTCCTTCACCTTGTTGTGCCACTCACGAGGAGCCTGCTTGAGGCCATACACTGGGCGCTTCAGCTTCCACACTGTGTTGGCAGGGTAAGTGCCAGGAAACCCCGGTGGGCGTTCTATGTGAACATCCTCCTTGAGCTGGCCTTGGAGAAAGGCGGAGGAGGCGTCCATGGACTTGATCTCGAAGTTGCCGCGAGCGGCTATATCAAGAAGAGCGCGCACAGTCGGGAGCTTGGCCGTGGGCGAGAATGTTTCGAAGAAGTCGAGATACTCCTTCTGGGTGAAACCCTCCGCCACGTATCGTGCATTGAACAGTGGAGCTTCGCCTGGGAGTTGTTTGACTCGGAAGATCCATTTTCCGCCAACGATGTTGACACCAGAAGGGGGAACAACATCGTCAAAGCTGTTGTTGCGAATGGACGCCTCGTTCTCCACATCCATTGCTGCCTTCCACTCCTTATTATAAGGCCCCGAGAGAGCTTCCTCTTTTGTGCGAGGAGTCGGAATGGTCGGGTTCTCGGTGAAGTTGAGGGAAGGGCAGTCAGTAATGTCCGGGAAGATGTGAGAGAGAAATTGGCAGACCGCGTGAAGGTCAAACAGCTCCTCATGCCTGTCCTCCAGAAGTGCACGAGGGGGAATACGGATGGAGGGGACATCACCCCCGACAGGAGGAGGCGGGGTGACCGAACACCGGATGGAGAAGGCGGCTGGTCCCCAGGCGAGAGGCGGAGCCGGTCCCTTGGAACGAGTGCGACTAGAGACCGGAGACGAAGGCGGCTGCGGTGGGACCGGAGGGACTAGGCGCCTCCGATAGGAGACTGGTGAGCCGGGCTCGACGCGCGGGGAAGGCGGAGCAGGAGGAGGTGCCGCTGCGGAGGATACTGGGGAAGCCGGGTGAGACACGCCGGACGGAGAAGGCCCCGAAGAAGGGGCAGCGGGCGGAGGTGGGGCATCGAAGTCTGCCCAAACAAGCGTCGGGGGAGGTGGAGGAGGCTCGCCCGTGGTCGCAGAGTGGAATGGGCGTGTCTCACCGAAGACGACATCATGGCTGCGAATCAGCTGTCTGGTGATTGGGTTGAGGAATAAGTAGTCTGGGGAGTCGGAGTTGTGCCCCAGGTACATGCAGGTCTGGGTTTTGGGACCAAGCTTGCCACCTTGCTTCCTGCGCGTGTGGGGGCTTAGCAACACATACGCGGTAGGTGTGGTGTCGGGCCGGTGGGGATGTGGATAAAGATTGTAGAGGAGTGCTGCATGGAAGAGGGCATATCCCCAGAATGACCGTGGTGCGTTGGCGTGACTGAGGAGGCAGCGAGCGATCTAAACCAAGGTGTGGTTGCGGCTCTCTGCAATGCCGTTCTGCTGCGGGCTTTCGAGGAGCGTGAAGGTTTGCCGAATCCCTTGGGCCGCACAGAAGTTATCGAGTTTGCCATTGCGAAATTCTCCCCCGCCATCAGAATGGAGGCACTTCAGAGGAGTGCCGAACGTGACTTGAGCCTGGCGCACCCACGCCATGATGACATCAGGTGCCTCCGCCTTGGTATGCAGGAGGTGCACAGAAACATACCGCGAGTGGTCATCGACTAGTGTAAGAAAGTACCGATGACCGCCTCGGGATGCGACTGGAGCTGGGCCCCAGACATCCATGTGCACTAGGTCCAGCGGAGCAGCTGCGACGGATGGGGAGGAAGGGTGCGGCTGCTGCCTGAGCTTGCTCTTGGTGCAGTCCAGGCAGGTGGGTGCAGGTGAGTCTGTTGGTGGAGGAAGCGCCGACGGGAGGCCAAGAAGAAGTTTCTTGGAAGCGATGTCGGCAAGTGTACGGAAGTTGGGGTGACCCAAGCGATGGTGGTAGAGGATGGTTGGGTTGGCGAAGCTGCGACACGAACACAGAGTGGTGCTGGCAACTTGCGCTTGGGAGAGGGCGGCGAGAGGTGCAGGTGAACGCAACGTATAGAGCTTGCTACTGTTGAGTATGAAGCGTGCTAGGAGCTTGTTGGACTTAGGGTCGAAGAGGTCACAGTGATCCGAGTGTGCTGGGAAGATCGTGGTGACCCCTGCCCGTTGGAGCTCGTGTTGGGCCACGAGATTGTGGCGTAGTGTGGGAACACACATGCCGGTGACACTGCCCGAAGGAAAAGCTGGGCACGGAACTGTGGAGGAGCCCTTGGCGTGAGTTGTGAAACTGGAGTCTGCTCCTATTAGACGGATTGGTGTCTCGTATGGCTTGAAGGAGTGTTCTTCCTTGAGAACCGTATGAGTGGCCCCACTGTCGAGGGTGAATTCTATTGTGGCTGAGGTGCTTTGTGAGCCAGGATGCAGCGAAATCGTCTCATTAATCATGGCAGTGCTAGGGAACAACATGTTGAGGCGCACATCAGCAGGTGCAGCCACAGCAGCCTGCACGGATTCCTGCGCTTCGACTTGGTTGACTTGGCGAGGAGCACGATTGACCATCCAGCTTGGCGGCTTGGAGGCGGTCCCATTGACAGCATACCACTCGTCATCCTTCTTCTTAAAGCAGGAGGCAAGGCCGTGGTTGGTGCCGCCACACACCTGGCCAGCACGAGGGCCGCGCTTGATGACGTAGGGACACGGGGGGAAGCGGTTGTGCTGGAATGGCACCGAAGCGGCATAGGCTTGAGGCACGGGAGCGCGGATTGCATTGGCCTTGGCTTGAGCGCTGTTGTCCTTTTCGGCAGAAAGGAGCGCGGATGAGACCTTGGCAAATGTGAGGTCTGCAGGAGCAAGGCCCAAGAGCATCTTGCGTGTGACTTCGTATGCCGGAGTGAGGCCGACTAGGAGAGCGGCTGCAGGGGCTTGCTCGGGGAAGACTATCCCCAACTGTTTGAGTTCACCATGAATGGACTGCACCTTGGTGACATAGTCCGCCATGCCTGGCGAGTCCTCGAGCCGCACTTGGAACATGCTGGGGATGAGTATAGCAACTCCCACTGCAGTCTTGTTCAGGAAGCGATCTTCGAGGTAGAGCCGAATGGCGTTGGCAGACGGGTAGTTGTGGTAGGTTTCGACGAGTTCGGGAGGAGTGGTGCCCATGAAGACACTAATGACCGCACCATCG